GACGGCGACGACGACTACTAATAATAATCATACTACTACTACTACTACTACTACTACTACTACTACTACTACTACTACTACTGCTACTGCTACTGCTACTGCTACTGCTACTACTACTACTCCTGCTCCTGCTCCTGCTCCTGCTCCTGCTCCTGCTCCTACTCCCACTCCTACTACTACTACAACTCCTCCTCCTCCTGCTGCTCCTCCTGCTGCTGCTCCTGCTGCTGCTGCAGCTGCTGCTGCTACTGCTGCTCCTACTCCTCCTCCTCCTCCTCCTCATCCTCCTCCTCGTCCTCCCTCGTCCTCCTCCTCGTCCTCCTCCTCCTCGTCCTCCTCCTCCTTCTGCTGCTGCTGCTGATAGGTCGCTACCACTTCTAACGAGCTAGAGCAAGCAGCGGAAGGGGTAGTGATTAAGACCGTAGACATTAATTGCAGTGCATGCAAGAATACGGCTGAGAACGACGACGGCAATCAGCATCGCACACATAATCGCAACCAGATGGTCATGTTGTGGCATTGTCATCAGTAAGTGAACAGCTTAATTTCTGTCGTCCGTCATTGGAATAGTAGCAACAGTGTCAGTCATAAAGACCAATCAAAAAAAGCACGACAAGATGATCTCCTCCTTCAGGCGACATGGTTACACACTCTGCAAGAAACACACTCGGTCTGCCTCTTACGGCCTGAGGCTCCAGCTGCGTCCCCACGGCTCAAGGCTTCCTCCAGTGCCGGGAGGTCGCCGAGCTCCGCGAGCTTTCCCAGCGCCTCCACACACTCTAGGACTCTGGGGACATGAAAGGACTCAAAGCACGAAGGCATGCTTTCAAAAGTGTAACTCGGGTCCGAGACTTTCAGAAACAGAGCGACCCAATGTCCCATACCGTCTATATCAAGCTTGAGCCACAAAGCAGCTGGGCCTGCGATGGCAGCTCATCCTCACGTACAGCTCGCGCCTCGAGGGAGGAAAGGCGCGGGAGCGAAGGAGCGCGAGAGAGAAGAGTGGTCAGGCGCTTAGACTTGCTTTCGCTGAGGCGCGGGCCGGTTTGCGCCGCGGCGCTGCCCAGCCGCCTTCAGCGGAGGACACCGAGGACGAGGACGACCTGTCGGGGATGCGAGCACTCTACCGGCTCTACCGATCTCCGTAGGTAAAAACTGCCTCGACCGCGGTGACGACTGTGGGCGTGCCTGGCCGGAACTCTCTAGTAGCAGGCATCACGAACTCGATGCATGCACATTCCTCCTGACCCCAGTTCATATCCCACAGCAATCACGACTATCAAGAGCAAACGCCTGAAATCGAAGGCCTGAAGCTTCTCGAGCATGCGCACACCTTTTGCTTTGCTCTCAAGAGCGGCTTGACCACGAGTCATCATGCACGGCATCGCACCCGCATATGCTTCGCGCGTTGACGATCGCTGTGCCCGCCCGGAACTGCACAAGGACACGCGCTCCCCTGCCGTGTCGAGCCATCCTTCCACCTGGTGCCTTCCGAGCCAGCCCGGCCCTGTTCCGACTCCGACAGTCTATGTCAGCTGCATGGACGGAACTTCGATGCTCTTGGCGGCACAGCTTCTCCGCCATGATACAATTGCTACGAGCTCGCGCTTCTGCTTGCAAAACTGTACCAAATCTTGGCCTTAGCTTCCGTGGCACTGCTACGTTGTAGCGAAGTCTTGACTGGAAGGCAGCAATCTTCTGCACACTGCGGCCCCTCCACATTGTAGACAAACCGTTTGCCTTTGCACAGCAGAGCTGCCACGCCACGCATATATGCAAGATCCAAGACTGCAGAAGGAGATGAAGTGTTAAACATTCCAAGTTCTGGATAGATAGATCCTGGCAGGAACCCTGGGTGTGGCACACTGCACATCGGTTTAGGTCATACGTAAAACTCAAGGCTCTAAAGCAAATTGGGGATCGATTGATTTGGAGCCGACAGAGCACACAGAAGGAGTCATGGCATGCCATCCTCTGGCCCTAACCCGGGACAAGTGGGACCCCAGCTGTAGACGAATTTGCACAAGCTGGCATTCACGAAGAGCCTGCAGCAAGTTTTGCGACATGTCGACATGAAACGTGAGAGCCACGCTGAAGATATCCCCCTTATGAATCGGGACCCTATGCCACACAATACCATACCATATGGTATTCCAGTATGATACAATGCAGTACCCATCGAGACAATGCAACACAATACGTACAAGCTTAGAAACAGACATGCGTACAAATACAAGTCTGGATTCACCATACAGGTGCACAACATCGCACGCGAACGGATAACATGAATAGACTAACAATGCATGATGCGCGTTCGCACACAGAACCTGAAATCAATTGATGAGAAAAGGGCTAATTCGATTCCTTGCACAACCTGCAACAATGCAAAGGAATAACGGCACAGGACGCGATCCTGAAAGGCCTTTCGAAGAGCGCCGTTACACCGAAAATTGAATCTGACATAAACATTGCAGATCCGGTGATCCGTCCAGATATTCTGACCACTGATGCGCCGACACCGAGCTTCTTTGGTGGAGGCTGCGCCAGCGGTCGCTCTGCCCTGATGAACGTGTGCACAAGAACACAGAGACGCATGTCACGGCTCTTCTCACGGCCGGCGAGACAGCCGAGTGTACCAGTACAAAGGCACAAGTCCCCATCCACACGTTCCAGTCTGCCACAGCGAACCGAGCCCGAAGCTTCAGAAAGAGAGAGCACAGAGAGCACATGCAGGGGCGGCTTGGCTTTGCGGCTGCTCCAGATTGGCTTGAGCAACTCGGCTGCAGTCCGGTCAGCGTGCAGAGTTTGAGCAACCTGTCGAGACGGCGCAACTTAATAATCTCGAAGCAACACAGTGTTGCCGACCCATCCTTGAATCTGACTGAAGTCATGAAGCAAGATGAAACCGTGAAATCTGCCACAGGCCTCTTGTCGGGCGATTTCATGTACCACCTCCAGAACTCAACAGAGTGAGGTGGCAGGAGATTTGACAACCCTCGGCAGCCTCGTTCCGCAGCTGTTGGAACGCTTTGTTCTCCGAATTCGCGTTATCCTTCCAGACTTCTGGCAACGCTGTGGAAGCTACCCACGAATTCCAGACAAAATCCTGGATGCTCCTCCAAGACGCCCAGAGCATCGTGTAGCCTTCCCAACTTTCGAAGGCAGATGGCTCGCCTGTACATGGCCTGGCAACCACGGCGGAGGCTTGTTGGAGCTGCGCCAGAAGCTTGAAACTGACAACAGCCAGAAGGCATCACCGGACTTCTGTCAGAGTGCAGCGCGGGAACAGAAAACATAATCGAGACTGCCAGGAGCACATGCTAATCAATCGATCAAGTTTAGTACAGTGTTACCGCGAACGACAATCCAGGAGAGACCCTCACTTTCTGTTTGATTCACCTACGCACGCTGCTAATCCCGGCCTTGGCATTCGCCGGATCTAACTGCAGGGCGCGCTTTGCGTCCAGCTCCGCCACTTCCCAACCTCGATCTCGGGGCTGCCGAAGGCTGGTGAAAGCCAACAGCGGTTTACCGGGCTGTTCTCAGCTGCAGGCAGCCCTGCTGGATATAGGCATTGGAGCGGTTTAGCCAGTAGGAGCACTCCTCGGCAAAGGCCGGGATAATCTCGCTGAGTCAAGCGCTCATGCGGAAGATCTGAAGCTGCAACAGATCAAATTCACCTCGCGGCCAGTGCATTACCGCCTGTCCTCGGGGTCCACTGCAATTGCGCGGGTGTAGGCCTGGAAAAATGGCAAAAGATGTGCTAGTTCGCAATGTCAAGCAAAGCTTCTCGTGCTGCATGCCTCCACCGCGAGCTCAAACTCCTGCCGCTTGAAGTGGTCGTTGCCTGTGTGGAACGCCACAGCCCAAGTCTTCAACGACGAGCTTTACGCTGCCTGTCTTGGTTTCGCGCTTCTGGCAAATGTCAAGCACAGCAGAGCATATTCCGACCGAGACACCACGCTTTTTGAATTCCTCTGCTTCAGATGCCATGCGAAACTAAGGGCACCGGTGCTGTGGCTGGATTCCTTGACAGCGCGTCGAAGGTAGGTTCGTCAACCGGTCTCTCCTTTGAATGTATAGGACTCTACAGATTCCCCAACTCTGTCGTTGGCTACTCGCTCACCCTGCTCACATATGCTGCAAACGGAGCCAAAAGCAAGGAAAGCGCAGCGTCGCGAGAAAGGCGCTAGGAGGAGCCAGAAAATTTACCAACCTGAAAATGTTGACGGACACCTGCATCGCCTGTGCTTCTGCTGCTGCTTCATTTACCAAATCGGATTGGCCGAATGAGGCGGTGCTGGTTGCTACACAGACTGTAGCCTGGCTCTAGCCTTCGGGAGCGCAGACTCGAAGAGTGGTCACCACAAAATGCTGTTCTGTGTTACTCTGCGTTAGAGGCTGCACAAGAAGCAATCTCGCGCCAAAACCCTCTCCAGCATGCCTCAATCCGTGTCTTGGGAGCACACGAGGGGGGGAGGTGAAGCTTCGCCTTGCAGGTGAAATGCGAAAGGCTGCATGCCATCAAGAGAACAGGAGAAATGCCGAGTCGCGTGGGGCTCGCTCAGACTCTCCCGAGCTGGGCGGGAACCTCGGCGGACATTGAGCCGAAGGCGGCCAAAATAATGGGACTCGCACGGAACTTCCGAAGAGGAGCATGAAAAGTAGCCTTTTCTAGTAGACTTCCAGTCCAGAGACCCCTACCTCTCCCATCCGTTTTGGGATAGGCCACTATACGTCAACCCTTCCCTGCACCCATACAGTAATACATGTGCACCTATCACTGTCACCTATCCGTAACTGGATAGACCCCTACTAATCGACTAAAAGAGGTCCCTACTCATAGACCCATATCGAGCCTTGTGATAGCCCGATCCTCCAAGGTCCCTATCCTCACCTATGTAGATAGCTGCCCGCCTGGCGAAAGACATTGCATGGGTTTCCTATTAGATAGCCTCTTATAACCTCTCAACTAGCTAGACGCATTGGATAAGCCCCTCTAAGTTGCTATATAAGTTATATAAGGTCCTCTTACGGTGATCACAGTTCTGAACCGCTATCCCGGATAATCACGCGTTTCAATCCCGCCCCCTCCTTTGGCGAGCGCGATTCAACAACACATAATAACACATATCTTGAACAGGCACCCTCATGAAGCGATTTTGGTTCATCGCATCTCCTGCGCTCGCCCCCTCACTTGGCGATCGAAGTACCTTGAACTCGACTCCCGCTTTGGCGATCCCGATTCATCACAGATCTAAAAACGCCGCCTGTGAAAACCCCAGGCATCTTAAACTCCTTTGGTGATCCTGGTTCAACACATGTCTTAAGCACTACCCCCAATAGGCGATCCCGGTTGATCACGTATTTTATACTCGCCCCTTCCTATGGCGATCCTGATTCACCACAAGATTCATCACACATCTTAAACACACCCTCTCATTATGCGATCCCGATTGATCACATCTCTTCAACCCGCCCCCTCATTTGGCATTTGGCGGTCCAAGTTCGTGACATGTCTTGAACTCGCACCCTCGTTTGCCGATCCCAATTCCTCACATACCTTAAACACGCCCCCTCAAAAACCGATCCGGTTTGATCATATTGTCTTGCATTCCTTCTTTATTTAGCGATCCAGGTGGATCACGTCTATTGCAGCCGCCCTGTCGTTTGCCGATCCAGGTTCATCACATATTTTAAACCCGCTCCCTCCTTTGACGATCCCGATTCATCACATATGTTAAGCACAGCCCCTCATCAGGTGATCCCGGTTGATCACATTTCTTAATATCCGCCCCCTCATGCAGCGATCGCAATTCATCATATATTTTAAACTCGCCACCTGCTTTGGCGATCCAGGTTGATCACACATCTTCAACACGCCTCTTACTGCAGCCATCCCGGTTCATCACCGGTTTGGATCACAACTCTTGATTGAACCCGCCCCCACAGTTGGCCATCCAGGGTGACACATATCATACTGCGCCGGTCCGAAAGTTCGTTGCGCTCTGTGTTGTTTACTTGCAACAAACCTGGCGATTCCTCCACAAGTCCTCAGTTGGTCCTCCACCCGAACAGTTAAGTATAGTACAAGACTTCCATTCCGGGATGATAATTCCTTCACTAGCCAGGTCAGGGTAGTCTTCGCTCCCTTTACTGTGCGCGCTCCGTTTAATGTCTCTGGCGGATGCGACGAAACTTTATTATCGGGCATGCTCATGGAAAGGAGCTTTAGACTGAAAACGTCGCCGTAAGAGACTCTCATGCACGTGCGTATGTCGACACATATGCACACACTTGTCCATGTCTGCTCTTCCTCTCTGTGCGTGTATTTGGGAGCCATGTGGAGCCGTGTACATATTCATCCGTACATATCTTGGCTGTGAGGCTTCCCGTGCCGCAGGGTAGGCATGTCTCGAGGCTAGAGGCCTCCGGAAAGCCACTGCTTCACTACTACTACTACTACTACTACTACTACTACTGCTGCTGCTGCTGCTGCTGCTGCTTCTACTACTACTACTACTACTACTACTACTAAGCCCCTTGGCTCCAGCTTAGGAATGATTGTGATGATGTTAGCCCGTAGGCTGCATGATGGAGAAGCGGGGTGCTACCATCACCCATGCCAGCATCTGTCGTTCTGCTTGCGCCTACCTACGCTGTACCTGCTCACTCTAACTCTGGCCGCCCTCTCGTCCACGCTCGGCATGGCTCAAGACCTGCCCCTCCAGCCATCGAGCCTACCTGCTTGCAATTGGTCGAGCCCTCAGAATCGGAGCGGATCTGCCAGGGCATCTACCGCTCAGCTGCAGCACCTTGATTATGCATGCAGACACGAGGCTCGAGCCAGCAGGTGCAGCTGGGATAGATCGACAGCATGCCACCCAACCGCCGAGGAGCTGCGCCAAAGATCAAGATCTCAGCCAAGGCACCGAAGGCCAAGGCCAGGGACGAAGCGGACTCGGATATATCAGTCACAAGCCCGGAGACTCGTAGGCGGCTGTGGGGTACGTCTAGCGAGGAGGAAGGAGGCACAATGGCTTCCGGGTCCGCGGGGCGACCGAATGGGCCACTCAACGGGCCACCGCCACCGGTTCCGGTCAACCTGCCGAGCAATGTGGGACCCCGAGGCTCCACCCGTAGCAGATCTCCACCGAAGGCCGGAGCGTGGAGACCAGCAGGGCCGCCAGCTCCTAAGGCTGCCATGGCTACAGAGGATGCTCCGACGACGGCCGAGGCCCCGGATGCAGGCCCGCCTGCTGCTCTGCCCAGTCTCCCCCCTTTGGGGAATACCTTGGGAGTGCCCTCGCCCTATGCCACACCGATGGAAGCATATCAGGCCAGCCTTGGGTTTGCAGCAACAGCGAAACACTCGGACGCACCGTCGGCGCCGTCCACTCCGACCTTGGCTGCCTTCCCTGGACTTATGGCCAAAGCCTCGACATCCTGCCCACCAGGGACTGGACCAGCCACTGCCACGGCGGCGCCACCAGCCAGAGCGAAGCAACCCTCCGTGGTGGCCATGGCACAGGGATGGCGCATTACTATTTGTATTGAGCCGACCTCGGGAAATGCAGGTGGCACGTGACGCCCATGCGGTTCGTGAGATCCTTGCTGAAGCAACCGGAGACAGATGCCACACCGTAGAGGCAAGGCACTTTGCAGAAGCCAATCTTCCAGGCAACCGACAAAAAGAATGTGTCTCCCTGACTCTCACTGTCCTGCTGCCGCCAACCCAAACGGCCCACCATGCCGACCACCAAGTGTGCAGATCCCCTACTCAGGTCGGAGCGAGAAGAATGGTGCTGCCCATTATGGAATTGCGAGGTCGCACAGACGGCAATCGGCGCAACCCTGTGCACGCTGTCCCTGCACCCCCGACCAGGAGACCAGCTTGCAGATCGTCGCGGGACTCCCGACGAGCCTTGGCCAGCCATCCCTCGGCCGCTGACTCAGTGCAAAGCCCAGAAGCAGCCCGTGACCTTAGCAGCCTTCATTCCAGCGGTTGTGCAAGAGCTAACGCATGGTTGTCTACCCTGCAGCCTTTCCTTTGCCAGTACCAGGGAGCACCTCTCCTAGGGTCCCCGGCTCCATCTGTCATGGGGAAGAAGGGCCCGCGTGTGCTGCCGGGACCATTGGACAGCTCGGAGATTTGCCGAGCAGAGGATCTGACGCCAGGCACGGACGTGACAGTCGTCGGGGGAGCGCACAGCAAGATTTATGGCTACCATGCCATCATCTTGAAGAGCAGGGATCAGCATGCTGCCACTCTCAACATAAGGGTGCTTGAGGGCTCAGCTGAAGAACGCAAGAAGGTTTGGACCATAGATCGGTCGCATGTCGCCTACAAGGCTCCCGCGGCGACAGCACAGGACGATGGACTGGACGCGTCCTTGCGGTGGCGCATTTCGCCACCCCCGCTCACACTATATATAGTGCGCGGTGGCTGCTCGGCTGGCAGTCGCTGTCGACACTTGTGCCGCCCAAGCCGATTAAGCGGCCAGACGACTCCGACCTCTCTGCCAAGGCATCAGATAAGACTACTGCTGAGGACAGGACGGAAAACCGCGCGCCAATGCCACGGCTGCGACCCACGCCCAAGCACAAGGGGCCCACCATGGGCTCGGCTGCAGTCCCGCCGCCGACAGAGGAGTGGGAAGAGGTCGAGGTGGAAGTGGAGGTGGAACCAGAGTATAAGCCACCACGACAGCCGGTGACATTGACGTCCAGATTAACCAGACAACGGCTACAACTGACCCAGCAGACCAGCCTGCCTCAGGAGGAGCCGTCCGCAGAGCGCGCCAGGTCACGCTCCCCACCGCCGAGGCCCAAGGACCAAGGTGGACCAAGTCAAGCTGCTTCTGGTCAGGCCGGCGCGGACAAGAAGCAGGAGTATGCCAAGCCGACACCGAAGAGGCGACCGAAACACCCGGCTGCCAGTGCGGCGGCCGATGAGGAAACCGCCAAGGACTGCCCACCTACGACACAGGCCAGGGAGAAGCGGACCGGCACGCAGACCACTTATATGGAGGAGACGTCGGCGCCGGGGCGACCGAGACGGCAGAGTCCCGTGGACTGCCTGGCGGGGCGCCAGGCGACCCCGAGGAACGGGGGAGAACAAGGAACGCAGAGCAAGCTGGCGCACAGCCACCAAGCACAGAGGCGGCGGCCAACAAAGTTGCCAGGACTACAGGTGCCAAGCGGACCCGGGACAGGGCGAAGCGGGAGACCAGCCAACGTGCCAGCACTGAACCGCATCGTCGCTCGGGCCCACCACGCCCTGTACAGAGACCCTTTTGGTTCCTTACTCCCGAAGAGGAGCAAGGCTCTCCGGTGCCAGAACGCAAGACGAAGCCTCGCTCAACTGATTGCGAGTATATGGGCACTGACCGCTGCCTGCACACTGCCGTCAGCGAGACTGTGACTAGTGACTCCCGGCCCAGGTCGGATCATCCACCCTCTATTCTTGGCTCGGGCGGCGACACCTCAGGTACCGGCCCCTCCGTGTGTCCGGCTAGCCTCTGTCACGGGCGCCACCCCGCCCGTAGGTCGGCCGAGCAATGGAAGACCGCTGCCGGAGCCTCAGCCAGAGAAGCACCAACGCTTACCTGCAGATGGAAACCGCCACGGGGGACACGGGCAGGCCGTGGCACCTACCATGTGCCAACGCCGCACAGCATGCCGCCATCCTCGCAGGAGCCTCTCCCGGACCAAGCCCCTGTGCTGATCCTGGCTTCTAGGTGCACCGTTGCCCAGTCAGGCCGCAGAAAGCCGCCGCTTACAGCGAGTTCAATCCCGGTGGTTACCTCGGGAAAACACCCCGGATCACCACGACCCGTCAGGGCTGGCCGGACTGCTACCAGAATGACCAGCTCTGCATGGTGTGCGAACAGCGGCCCACTCGGAGGGATTATACCATGCAGTTCGGCATGACGGCCCGTACGGCTACCAGCGCACTAGGATGCCGAGACCCCAGCCGAAGGAAAGCTGGATACATCCTTGCACAGGCGGCTGCTACCCACCGCATGGCATTCCCGCCCCGCCTCTGTGAGCGACGCTTACCCGCAGGACCTCAGGAGCATGCAGACGCCAACACCATCAGAGTGCACGGTCCCGGCTCACCTGTTGCCTACTGCTTCAATAGGACCGGTCCACACCTGCCTAACCAAGGTGACCCACTTACCGAGCGCAGAGGCTGGCGAGGCCTCTTGGACGACGTGCCGGAACGGACACGAGCGGGTACCCCAGAGACTGACACTCAAAACGGCAGGAGCGCAGTGAGAGATTGGCATGTCCGAGCTGCCCGCAGTGCCGCGCTGAGTTCCGTCTTAGGACGCCGCCCAGCTCCGTATATAGGTTACGGGGCAGGACCCAGTCCGCGAAGTCCCGACATGATGCCCAGGGACCCCAATCCCGAACGAATAAGATGCCACGAAGCCCACCTCCAAGGGCGCCCAGTTACGCTGAAGGCTCAGCTGAGGTCCTGCCGAGTGAGACCCCACCCTGCTTTCAGTTTCAGGAACTGGACTAGGTCCAACTGGCATCACAGACGGGCCCCCCCGCAAAGTGCCCATGTTGCCGGTGAGGATCACATTAGTGTGCCGGACTCGCACTTACTACATCATTCACCTATTCAAGCAAAGAGCTACTCCGGTCCCAATGCCGGAGGCCAACCACAGCATGTGCCGCCTAGTTGGAACGGGGAGCCCAGAATGCCATCCCGAACTGGCAACCGTGCCTGGTTGATAGGGGTGAGGGTTGGTGATGTAAGTCACGCATCACCGAGACCAGCGATGACTCCCGTGGGAGTCACCTCTGGGAAGCCTCGACCCGAGCTTTTTATCCCTCTCTGCAGCGTGACAGCTGCCCACCTGGGCCTGTCAGCCACTATAAAACATGTACAGCACTCAGTTCGGCTCCACCAAAGGGAGCTAGTGGGACTGCCCACTCGTAAATGGAAGCAATATCGGGTGTGGGCAAGATGCAAGCGAGGA